CATATACCAACATCTCACTGGATTATAACAATATTACAAGGTATATATATGTGATCAGGTCTCACTCCATATACCAACATCTCACCAGATTATAACAACATTACAAGGTATATATCTGTGATCACATCTCACTCCATATACCAACATCTCACTGGATTATAACAATATTACAAGGTATATATCTGTGCTCACATCTCACTCCATATACCAACATCTCACTGGATTATAACAATATTACAAGGTATATATCTGTGATCAGGTCTCACTCCATATACCAACATCTCACCAGATTATAACAACATTACAAGGTATATATCTGTGCTCATGTCTCAACTGATATATACCTAAGCATATTAGCAGCTTGTCAGAGTTCTGGTTAAAACAACTAGGTTTTAATTTTTATCTACATCAGAATAAATTTATACCAGAGTAAGACAACATATTACATATACATATAGCAGAGTAAGTCCAGATTTTTACTATGTCAGCCTGCCTGGCCTCCTATATATATATATATATATATATATATATATATATATATATATATATATATATATATATATATATATATATATATATATACCACAGTAAGTCAAGAGTCTTACCATGTCAGCCTGTCTGGCCTCCTCTATATAATGAGTGGTCAACAAGATGGTAGTGTGGCCTGTCTTGGCTATTTCTAACAGGTGCTCCCATATCCTGAAGATAAATACCACATTACTGTTATATCTATTACTCTGCAACAGGAGATTATATGCATTTCTCTCCAACATTTTATTTGAAAAAAATTCACAACCTCACCACACTTACTTCTGCCTCAGCAGGGGGTCTACTCCAACAGTGGGTTCATCTAAAATAAGGAGTCTTGGCTCATGAATTAGGGCACAAGCAAATGATACTCTTCTTTTCTGTCCTCCACTAAAATTACAAAATTGTTCATATTCATGTAGCAAATTAATAATTGAATTTCACATTTAATTAATATCTTTATTTAAGCCAAAACAAAAAACAATTATTTTCATCCTTCACTGATATTCCATTCACCCATCAAACACTTAATAAGTCAAACAGTCAATAAATTTAATTATCATTTTTATTCTTTATTTTTCTTTTTGTCTATTTTTTGTTTATTGTGTCTCTTATATTTGGTCAAACAATTTTAGTGTGACCTTTTTAATCTCCACACACTACCTTAGGGTTTGTATTTGTCTCCCTTTAGATGGGAGGTCCAGAAATTTTACCAAGAAATTGGTTCTTATCACAGCATTTTCCCTAGACATTCCGAGAATCCTTCCAAAGTAGGCCAACGTTTCTTCAATGGTCAACTTCTCAAACAGCGCTGTGTCCTGGAATGGCAAAAAATGAAAAGAAAAAAGGACAGAAAATTCAAATGCAAGATGTGCTCAATCTAGTTTAATATGAAATTGAGTTCAGAAACATATATTTAAAAGCAAAATATCAAAGCTTCCAAGAATTAATAGGGGGTTGCATATGTATTGGTTAATTGTATGGGAGTAGCTTGTGACTTCTGTGCACATATGTTGTATAAGGGGAGTACATTAGTAATGGTTGTATGAGGGAGTAGCAGAGAAGTCACAGGCTACCCCCCCACCCCCTCTTATACAACACACTTATGTAGACAGAAATGACATTCTCTTTAAGTACCTGAGGCATGTAGCCAATCAGCTTTCCAGGCACCTCGTGACCTCTGGCCCCCGGCTTTTGACCTAGAACTGTCACATGACCTGCATCCACCGCCAGACGGCCAACTAGAGCTCGTAATAGCGTGGTTTTACCACTCCCACTAGGACCTAAGAGCCCATAGCTAAAAAACAGAATGATTAACAAATGTTAAAGAAATTTATCTTTCTTTACCTGATTACAAATCACTGGCATCAGTGAGGGATAACACAGCAATTAATCAAGTATTGCTTTATTCTGACATAGATAAATGAATGGCTTCCACACGCTCAGTAAATACAGCTATCATGTCAAGGTAAGCTACTAGTACATCCACACATCTACTCCCAGATTTCAACTACTGCAGTGTTTTTATTCTAAGGACTACTAGGACAAATTGTCTGATGTTCAAGAGAGCTGTAACTGCTGTCATACTGACATGCATCCCTGTGGTACAGTGAGAGAACAGTCCTGTAAAGCCTGGACGCCATTTCTCTTGGATCCATATCTCTTGTAGACATTCCTCACTTCTACTGCATCCTGGGCCATCTTCACAGAGGAAGAAGGACAATTTGAAATGTGAAGGGAACTTATTAATTTATCTTTTTTATGTTAATTTCAGTTTAGAATGGAGACAAATCAAATTTATTGTGACCATACTAGGTATGTATGTTTTCAAGTTCAAATAAGGACTACACAAAAGAGAGATGTATTTCTGTCTCTGCTTTTGATTCAAATTATTTCATGATCGATAATACGCTCTACATCCTACAATATCAATTCACTATTAAGTAATGCAGTTTAGATTTTGATGAATGAATTTTTACCTTTTAAATGAATTTTTACCTGAACTTAGTCTACAGCTAGTAACTTAATTATAATTACAAGAACTGTCTATGACATGTGATATGTATATGCTACGATCCTGGTTGTCACAAAGATTAGGCAAATATGAGGCACAAAATGCAAAGAATTTTACAATTGTAGCTTTTAAGTTAAGGCTTCACTGCCTCACATAAACTACATATAGTACTTCTTGTACCTCACTTGTCTACAATGCACGTAATCCGCTCTTGATTGAGTCAAAGTACTGTGGTCGAGTTTCAGGTTATCGTCCCTCAATTTCACACTTCATTGGGTTATGTGAGCCCGTGCGCTTATCTATTCTGTAAAACAATCTTACCTGGGGAATGTTTTCGATCAATATCGGCGATAAACTAACTGCATTTTCTCAGTCCACAGTCACACTGGCCTGGAGGAGTCGACTTTAAACGATCTCTAATGATTGGAGGACAGAAAATGAATCGCGCTTACTCGGCTATTCTCGGCTTATATAGTATCCAATATCGTAGCTTTCAGCTGACCAAAAATAAATAAATAAATAAATAAATAAACAATCCCGAAAATGGGAAAAGATTGATGAAAACTGAATCTGAATGGAAAATAGATTGGGGCTGGTTTTGAGGCCTACATTTTTGCAGATACAAATAAAGAAGCTTAATTAATTAATTCATCCATGAAGACGGTCCCAAGGTCTAAATATCCAGTGATATTTACTTTTTGGTGTAAAAAATCATCCGTTCCCAATCACAATGTCCTTCGGTGCTTCGTGCTTTTCCAGTTGGAACATAATTTAATAACACACCGCTAGGTGGCAGAGCTGTGATTTCCACGGTGATGTCAAGAAGGGTCTACGTTCCACTTAATTTACACCCGTTAATTTACACCAATTTTCACACATAAAAAGACAACAAGACACGCAAAGCTACTATTTAAGGAGTAATGAGCAATTCTTGAAATTGTGTAGAAATGAAAAAAACGATACATTTCTGTCATTTATTACCTTCCAGTTTAATTTTGGATGATTTCATCTTAGAAAATATTATATTGGTGATTGCCAGAAGTTTGCGATCTTACTTTCATATTCTAGTCTCTAAAATAGAATTTTCATGTTCTTATGTCTCAAATATCTAAATTTAAGAATTTAAGTAGGGCCTTGTTAATTACAAACTTTTATTTAGGCCTATTTACTTATTTTTTTATTGCAGATTTCGTGTTTTGATACCCTATAGGTTCTAGATTTCGTTATTGCCAGCTCGATCTCGATTTCATATATTAAGCCAACACATGAAAAGTTATAGTGAGCAAGCTAGCTTTACAGTGCCCTGGCACTCAGGGTATATGTTTTGATTAAATTGTTTGAATGATTTTGAGAATAACAATGTTAAGTCTCATTTACCCGCACAGAATAGGCCTACTCTACATGTGGCAGGTGCTAGTCAGGCATTAACATGGCGATATAGGGCACACCGGGACAAAGAAATGAAGATAATTTAATTTCAGTGTGTTAAATGTGGCGTCTCATGTACTTTAGATAGATACAATTGCTGTCTGAGATAGACGCAGGATCCTAGAAGTAATTATATACATGACAAAAGTTAATAGCTAATTTGGCATGTGATTTATAAACTGCAGAAGCTGTAGGCCTACTTATCTATTGGTAAAGTACGTTTGTAATAATATATATTTGCTTTATCACACCTGCCCGATCAGAGGCTGTGGTGGAAAGAAATATGAATCAATACACGATCGCCATATTTTCTTTAAGTAACTGTTTGTATCTTAGAAATCGCAGTTAATTGGTTAATAAACGAAAAATGACATTTGGAGGAGCTTTATCTTGGTCACGTGACAGCACGGGTAAGATGATGTGAATTGATAAGGACAGGTATCTGTTAAATAAGGTAAAGAAGAAAAATGACGTATTTCTAAATTGTCCTACAGTTTTTATGAGCTCTGTCACTGGTCAGCATTAGCAAGACACATTGGCGAATTATTTGTAATTTATCTCCATCATTTCCGGTGTATTCCGTTATAACGTCGCTGAGTTGTAATTAATATTGTGAAACAGATGACTGCACATTTCCCACCAACTTTGTTTTGATTAATTCACATTCCACAATTGCCATGTAAGATCCCCTCTAATGAAGGCCTTTCGGCTGAATGTACAGTCTCAGTTTTCGAATCTTAGTCCTGAAAACCTATCCACCATAATTTAAAGAACGGCTTCACGGCATTGTCGCCTGCACTTCAAAGTTTTACCTCAATAAAGCATTCTCAATAGACTGCTATGGCGCCTGAAGCAGAAAAATCAAAACAACCATACAGCCTCCACGGCGCCTTTTGTAGGATCAAAGACTACAGTTATCTCCCAAAAAGGTCAATGAACTTGTTTTAAGGTTATTTTATTAATTAATTTATTTGTTTAACTTTATTCATTCAGGGTGAAATCATGGTTAATATAAATCGTGGCCATCGGGTTATTGTAACCTTACGTTCAAGATGATTTTGTATCTACTCTTTCTAACCGCTGTGAATGTTTCAATGTATCGATACCCTCTCTCTCCACTTTTTTCGAGAAAAAAAAAATGCAGTGCAAACAGCATCACGAATTCCAATCATCAACACACAAATTTCCTCCACAAGGGAAATATTAATTCAATTACACTTTTCAGTTTACATCCCAATCCCCAATCGTATCATACATTGTCCACAATTAGTGGCTTTGAGACCAAAGGTAGGCAATTCGTGCGTCATTGCAATATTGTTCTGTGTCAAGTGGACGTGGACGTGAGGGCCTCTGCGTGTATAGGCCGTGTACGCTGTCTGATGTACGGCGTGTACGCTTTGTGAAATGTGAGGTACGTATGTGTACACTGTGTGAAATACGGTGTGTACGCTTTATGAAGTGCCAAATACGTAGGCCTATAGGTGTATATCTGCCCCCAAACACGCACTTCCCTTCTCCTCTACCAAATTACTGGGTCAGCCCTGATAACTGGAAAAGGTTTGGAATCACTTGACGAATTGCCTGCAGCAGACGGTTAATTTCACCTCATTTCATTTATGTTGCTATGGATATAACGTATAATTGTCATATTGCCTATACATAATTGGTAATTCAATACAACTCTGAGAAAAAGTGCTCATAACACCGATGCACAAAAAAAAAACGATGATTTCCTCGACACTCCGACCGACAAGATACTTTGTCATTCGACCATTTTGTTTTTGTTAACTTCATCAAGGCATGTTTTGAGTTTTGTGGGCAAGATGTGCGAAGATGTACGGGGTGCGTGTGCTGAGTTGTGTGGGAGCGTGTGCCAAGTTGTGTGGGTGCGTGTGCTGAGTTTTGTAGGGTGGATGTATCATGATATTCCAATCACGAACTGCTGCTGAAAACACTGCACTTCAAGTACCCGCTTTTTCTAACACGGCGGGAGTCTTTATAAATATAATAATTATTGATAATTTATCCAGTACACTTGCATACCGGTAGATGTATATGCATTTTTGTTGTGTAATATTAACTAGGCCATTCCATATACTAATTGGAGTGGGGTGAGGCTATGGCATCTTACGGTTTATTGTCTTGCGAGATATATGCTCTTACACCGACTATTACCTTGTTTTAACTTTAATTTTAAAGGGAAGAAAAAGCGAGAAACATAGTCGCCTCCATCGATTGAAGATCAAATGTTTTGCACACGTATCTAATACCCCTATGTATAAACTGTGATTACTCTCTGTGTCACGACCCATGGACTTGTTTAAAACCATTAGGTATATTGAGGACATGTTATAGCAACGGAGCCATAATTGCCGTAAATTTGCGAACTATTATCTGATGTATTAATGGACGCAGTGGTCCTCCGTTGATGTACAATTAGACGCTCTACCTTGATAGAAGAAAAAGGATATCATTATATTTCAAAGCACGCTCTTTCTCCCGCTATGTAGACTTGCTAATCAGTACCGAAGGGAAAGAGAAGGCTCTTGACATTAAATTTTGGACCGCTCCATTAATCGATTTATTGGAAATCAAGTTTCCACTTTTAGCGACCGTAACACCGTGAAATATGTGAATTGATGGAAACTGACAGTTCCAGTTTTCACTTGTTCATTTTGAATAGTTTGTTCTTTCTTTCTCTTTATCTGTATTTTGTTCTAATACAACCCATAAATAAAACAATTGAGACATTTAGATTGACAGTGAAACGCAGGTCCGCACCGTACGAATAGATTCAAACATTCTACAGTAAGCCAAGGCCAAGTCAAAGCACAGTGTGGGACATTGACATGGAATAATTACCCGAGATGATTGAAACTGTCTTTCGTTTTACATGGAGGAAATAAATAAATAAATAAGCCCAATTTAAATATGTTAAAGAATATAGTTTATCCTGCCACTATTAACTGAATGTAAACATTACGACCAATAGAACAAGAGGGCGTGGCTCCCTGAGTGGCAGGAACTACTGGTCACTGATTGGCTAGATGATACCACTGCCACTTAGGGCCGTGTTGAGGGACATGCCAGCGACAGATAAGATATTTGATCATTAACATGGCGTTTTTTTTTCTAGGAACTGCTTGTGATCTTGTGATCTGGAGATGGCATTTAAGTTTGTTTGTGGACAATGGTTGCCTGCATAATAACTTAATTGGGTTTTGTTTCATAAACCCGCAGTTTCTGGTGATCATAGGAAACTCGATAGAAAATGCGTCATTGGATACATGCAAACATCTATTGTTAATTTATTACTAAGTGTGGCACTGATTTTTTCATATATTACCGACTTTTTTGAAGGACAGGAAGTGCAGAAAGGTAGGCAAGTTTCTGCTGACCCAACCCCCCTCCGCAAAACTATATAAGTTGTATTCTGTGAAATGATATCGGGTTTATAGGACCATATGAAAAATATTGTGAGGCATACCTGTAGGAGATTGTCACCTATACAATCAACGTACAGAGGTTTGACTGTTGCATCGAACTATATAGTTGTGGTATCCATGATTTTAATTACTTATAGGTAATGAAAGGGATATTCTGAACATAAAATGTCTCTTCAGGTATTTTCCCTTACATTTTGTTACTATCGCTGATGCAGGTACGAATACAGCCGTTAAATTAAAGTGTATTTAGTGTCACCTTCCAAGACACAGCCAACTAAAACGATAACAACTCTTCATATGAGATCCAAAATTCCACATTAAATATATTGCAAACAACACATAGAAATAAAATAAGTTTCATTTCACCACAAAAACAACGGTCATCGGACCACGTGGACCGTCATAGGTGGCTACAGGTATAAAAAGCACATTTAAAAAACAATCCACTAAATTTGAATTTCGGAACGGATTCATTTACCATTGTAAAGTATGAAAAATGGTCTTTACCCCAGGGAAATCCGTTTAATGAAACCTTTTTCAAAATAAAGACTTGTTATCCCTCTAAAATTTAATGTCGCATGGACTTAACACGGGCATAACTGTGGGGTGCCCTGCAGATCATAGTGTGCTGACGTCTCATTGGACGTCAGTCTGGTCAAAATCACCCCAGCCTTGGTTCAGTAACCGGTTTATATAAAGGATTTAATACCAAACCAAATCTGAGAACACTGTCTTGAATACAGTAAGGTTTACAATATTACAAGTGTTATAATGTGTTAAACCAGATATGCAGTGCTGTCCTTGTTAGCTTTTACGGACGGATCTAAATATAACGGTCTCATTGAAATAGACGTGTTGTGTGATAACCTAATCAAAAGAAAAAATAACGCTGCAAGAATGAAGTAGCACACACGCTCCCAGGTGAGGTTCTAAATGATTTATACAATTCCCAAAGACAGCACCGTATTGAAAATGAGAAATCATAACAGACAAATCTGATCCCATGAGGATTTCTTTATGCCCATTAAACGAAGTGCTAGCAAGCAATATTTTACGTTTAGATAATTTAGATAAAATGAGTATTGTTATCTTTTGGCACGTTTGTTAAAAGAACTGCAGAGTTTTCCTTGGTTCTGGAGTATCATCGTTGGACTTCGGGACATTATCTGTCGGCTTCAAGGCCAGGATATGAAACTGGCTAGAATGAAGCATGTCTTACGAGAAGAAACGCGGCATGAGACCTCTAAAGTTCACACAAACTACAGATCATCTTCTCACATGTCGAGAACGGCGTAGTTTCAGTGTACATGTAAGGTTGCTGAAAGGTTATTTGTGACAGTTGTGTATAACGCCTTTGATAAAGAAACCTTTCTGCCATTGGGGCCGCATTCCAAGACAAGTTTTCTCTACTATCAATTGCATGCAAAACGTACAAATGTATACTTCTACTTTGTCACCGGCAAGCAGTTCAAATATTTCAATAAATAGCCGTCATAATGAACACAATGTGAGCAATAATTTGCAAGCCGTAACGTCATCGGTGTTTTTTATATGAAAATATCTCAAATAGACGTTTTCTTATAATATACAAGGATTTTAATAATTGTCTCTGTTCGATATGGATAAAAACATATATGACATGGAATTCAGCATTAAAAAGGTTAATAGATGATACCTAGCATTCTCGATAATTATGATTTTATTGCTTTGAATTTTGACCTAAATTCCCCGTGATAGCATTGCGTGAAGGGACGCCTGCTTTTCTTTCCTGCCGGCTTTGTGATTCCACTGTAGAAGAAGGTATTCAAGCGTACAGTGATTAATGGCAAACATGATGGAAAAATGACGCGCTGTAAACTATATGATCTTCATTCAGTACTTGCACGTAGATTTTGTCAAAATGTCACTGACTGCATTTATGAGTGCAAGAAACCGTTAATGGCATCAGACGTTTCATAATAGTCGTCCTAGCAAACACAGAGCGTTGTAATAACGTAACCATGGCGTTTATATCGCCCAAATAACGTACTGACCAGTATCGTTGTGGTAACGTCATAAAACGCTGTGTTTGCTGAGGCGTTCTCCCAAAGAGGGGCGTTATTCTCTAGTCAAATTTGCTTGTCACCAATGCCGCAACAAACACAAACCAAAACAAAGCTTGGAAGTCCATGACTTTTTTCTTCAAAGCAACGTTTCTTTAAGATGGATAGCATCAATTAACTTCTTTTGAACGTCTCTGCGTCTAATTGTCCATGAAGTCACTGACCTTCAAGAAATAGTATGCTTGATAGGAAACTAAACTCATTGTTCAGTCGATTATCTGGCAAATTCATGGTAAGAAACGGCGGCTGGCTCTTTTTAATCACTTTACTTCCTGTATCAAATATCCATAGGCGCAATGATATGAATTGACTTGCATGGAATGAATAGAACGAACTTACTATTACTCGACAAAGAGCCATTATACATGTGCTTTTCTCTTCATGTCATAAATATCTGAGGTAGATTAATTAATTGGAATAAAAAAGATAAACTGTTGACAGCATTGTTAGAGTACATGTACATGGCAAAACTCCTAATTCTACCCAAGACATCAGATATAAAGCAACATACAGACTTTACCAGGTCGTTATTGTAGTAAATGGGCTGGTATCTTACAGAGTGCACACCTAGTCCACCCAACCAAGGTAGCATGGTGGGGCGGGGGGGGGGGGGGGGGGC